TTTCTCCCCAAAGTTTTTGAGAGTCGATCAAGATAAAGACAGAGATTGCAGCCTGGACTGTGCGGGCTCTGCTCAGAAACCCCTCTGTGCGTCGGATGGACGGACCTTCTTATCCCGCTGCGAGTTCCAGCGTGCCAAATGCAAAGACCCTCAGCTGGAAATTGCTTACCGGGGAAACTGCAAAGGTAAGCCCCCTTGATGGTCCGTGTATAGACCGTGGAGCTGTCGTTAGAACACGTGCCTGTGTTGCTTACTCTCACATCTGCTAAAAGTTTATATTGAAAGGCTAAAGAATTTTTTGTTTATAGTTTTTTTGAGCATGTGAAGGGTGAAGAGTGATTCTGTGAATTTCAAAGTAGAGTCATTTGAAAATTACTTAATGCTTTTCTTCTTAAAGTGTTCTGTGCTGTCACGAAACAAATCTATCCAAGTGTTTTATAGACTTCCCTGATGTCCCTCGCCCAAGTTCATTGTTGGGTATTTCACTCTTCCTGGGTGCTCTCAGGTGGGTGCTCAATAGCACCTGTGTGGTTCCTCGCAGGTGTTAGTGGTGATTTTACTCCTGTGACATTCACTCTTCTTGACCTGGGATCTCACCTAGAGCTAACACTCCTGCCTGGAGCAGCACGCTGAAATGCTGCCCACGTTAATGAAGGGTTTGATGCAGGGAAAGATACTGGTGTTTCAAACACAAACAGAATCGCTGCACAAAGAGATCTGCCTCCTTTTTCTTTTTCTCTGGGAAACAAGACCACACAGGCTGGAGCAGCCTCTGGGTGGTGTTCGGGTCGCTTGGGGATCAGCCCCCGCAGTCCTCCTGGCTGAATAAAGCTCAGCCAGGGGCACAATGTCGGGCGTAGTCGACCAGGTTTGGAAAGCAGTCGCTCCTCCTTTCATAAAGCAGCACACCAGGCCGATGGATCGGTGCTGCTGTTCCAGACTAAGGCAGAATGTTGCCACCTTCTTTATCCCTGAGAGCCCTCCCTGTGGTCCAGACTCACAGTAGTGGCTCCCAACAGAGGGGCGGCCAGCATGCCCTCTGGAGCCTGACCTCGGCACAGTGGCGTACCTTCACTCTGTACACGTTGGTGTGTCCTGTCTGCAGACACTCGATCTGGAGCCTGGACTTCCTCTTAGCATGTGCATGTGGCTCTGCCCATGACTGATGGTTACACATTATCAAGGACATTTTCTGTTGTCATGGTTTCTTCAAAGTTATTCTTTGGGACATGTGGCATTTAAAGGCTACAGAAAGGCTTGATCCATGTAGCTAGGCAGGTAGATCTTCCAGGAAGAGTCCTGGGAAGGTCCTTCCACTCGTGAGGGTGTATGAGAGAATGATACTCCTGAGACCAGAGTCCACGGTAGGTGCTTTTCCTGAAATGTTAACAGACTCGTGTTTTGTCCTCTTGTGCTAAGAGAGCTATGACAATCCAGGCAGAAGCCAATCTGAGGGTCCTATCACCAGGAGCAACAGGTGGGGTTGGGAGAGAAGGTGGAGCCAGGTTGTGGCAGACGTGGTTGGATGAAAATCCTGGCTGAGTACCCACACTGCCTTGCCCCTATGCACCTACGCTACACCTTCAGCCAGGTGTTCCCAGGCTGCAGATGGACTAGTACCATCAAGGTCAGTCTGAGTTTGCTAAATCAGGGTGTGCTTCTGAAGGGACGAGACCAGCCACTTTCAAATGGGAACTGTAATCTGGATTCACTCATTAACCTCAATATGCTCTTGGGTTTGCAAAGAAAAAAATGTAATAAAGAAAGAATTTTATTTATACTTTTAATCAGCATGCTACAGGGGAAGGTAGGAGAGGCCCAGGACTGGCCATTCCTGAACACCTGGGGACTGACCACACCTGAATACCTGGGGACTGGCCATACCTGAGCGCCTGGGGACTGGCCATACCTGAGCACCTGGGGACTGGCCATACCTGAACGCCTGGGGCTGCTGGAGGTGGCCAGCCCCTCAGTTCACTGGAGGACTCCAGAGCTCAGTGTGCCCCAGGGAGCCAGGCACCGGGGTCCACACCTCTCTGAAGCAGGTGACTCTTGCTGAGAACCATCTCCTAGGCCTGAGGTAGCTCTAAAGGGTTGGACAGAGCTGGGGGCTGAAGGCAGAGGTCGGCTGGCTTTGCAAACCACCTCGGTACAGAGAGACAGTTCCCCGGGCAGGGCATGTTCTTCAGACTGCAGCCCAGATAGACAAAAGCTGCCCCCCGGATAACGTGTTGAAGGGAAAGAACTATCATTTTTATTGTACAAAGCAAATACTGTTCTCAAATTAAAATTTTAGCAGGGAAAATAGTTTTAAAATGTTAAAATACAGTTAGGAAATACTTTCTTTAGAAAATATCTATAAAAATGAAGATGAACATAATACAAATTAAAGCATTGAAATTATTCTATCCAATTACATATGGCTATCTACAACAAAATAATTGGAAATTTGATTTTAGAAGTTGCAGTCCGTGCTCTGACTTCCTTGGTGGTGGTGGGGGAAGTGGGTCATACCATATAAGATAAATGACTTTTGGCAAATGACAAATTATTTTTTCTCCCTAAGCATCCATTCTGACCCACAGAAATGAGCAGAACATAACTTATTAAATGTCATCTACCTGAAGTTCCAGATTCCCTATCAGTATTTTGTCCTCGTAACATTCTTCTTGGTGGGCATTGAGATTCGGCATTCTGTTTTCCATCTCTTTGGTGGCATCGCGGATGAAGAGCCACACATGTGTCTCCTGCCCACTGAGGAGGGTGCTCTGCGGGCAGCTCAGCTCTCTGGGTCTAACATCATGTTGTTGGCTCAACCTGGGCTCCTTCAGCAGGTTCTGAGAAGGCACTTGGTAGGAACAAACCCACCAGCTCATCTTCTGCCTAAGGACCAGCCCCTGCAGAGAAGCAGCGTCGCTCTCCAGCAGGAAACCCCAGGAGTCTTTTTCTCTCCCTCTGTTGGCCTCTGTGGTCCTTGGGGAGAGGGCCCTCTAAGCATCAGACTTTCATGCAACATCTTGGAGGCTGGGAGCTAGCTGGCCTCCTCCGAGGAGCTCACAGTGGTCTTCAGTGGTGTTTTCTGTTGGATCCCAGATGTCCACACCACCCAACCTGTCCCCAGACCGTCTCTGGAGGTGGGGTGCTGGGCCCAAGGTGGCAGGACACCGTGCACGCCTCAGGGACAGGCACGCGGCCTGTGTGGGTGTGCTGAGGGCTGCTTTGCTATTTAATGCCCAGTGGCACCTGCGTTTCTGGGGCTGTCAACACTGGACCTCCAGATCCTTGACCCACCTGGCTTCCTACAGCTGATGGGTGCAGAAAAACTGCTTATTTCTCTATTGACAAAGAATAAGGCTGCCTACTTATTTAGAAAGATATTGTTCATTTAAGGAGTGTTTTTCAAACCGCAGGACACACGCCCACCAATAATGGGCTTCACTCCACCTTCTGCTTCTCCAACCACAGACCCCTTCCCTCTGAGAGATCTCACACCCTTACTGAGAAGGACTGTGGTTCTGCATGATTGTCCTTGGGTTTAGGTGCTTCCCCTCAGGCGCAGTGTGGCCCTGGGTGTAGAAATCAGAGTGAGGTGCGTCCATCCACACAGGGCACTCTCCTGTCCCCCTGGTGTTTGAGTCCTGTGTGCCCAACCTGTGATGAAGACTCAGGTGTGATTCTGCGCCATGGCTGCCCTCCCCTCCACCCTGTGCTGCAGAAGGTGGCGATTTAAGGGTGAATGTGAAGACCGGAGACGCTCCTGGAAGCCTTGGCTCGTGAGAGCGGGTGCTGAGGGCATGGTGGGGCCTCGCCACCTGTCAGGATGGCTGGGTGTGTTCCCCTTGGCCACGTTCCTGGAGAGAACCCCAGGCAGACGTCCTGCTGAAGGGCTGTGTGGGGGCCGTCGGGGCAGCTGGTGCTGGCTGTGGCCTCTCAGGACGGGAGTCTGAGGGCCTCCGATAGAGGCCAGAATCTTCCTCAAGAGGAAGGGTGGACTCTCGCTCCCCAGGGCCTGGTTTCCTGGGTGGTGCCTCTGGCCCTTGATTTGCAGTACCCTGAAGGGTGGAGTCACTCTTTCTGTCGGGGGATTTTCGACGTGGGTGTCCCTCGCAGCCTGGTGTTGGCTTCCTGGCACCTGTCCCCGGCCTGCCTTCCTGGATAGCTGCCTCTGTTGCCATTTTCATTCACTTCATGGAAGAAATTCAATGCTGTAAACTTGTGACCCCAAAATGGTGATGGAAATGGACAAGCAAATCAGGGGTACCCCCCAGCGGGCTCATCAGCCAAAGGGATGTGCTGAGGACAGTGCCCAGGCGGCTGCAGGTCCCCAGTCCTGCCTCCTCGGTGCGGCAGCCACCTGGTAGCCAGGCAGGACTTGCTCAAAGAGAGGGCCAGCTGCGCATCACACCCCAAAAGACAGCCAGCTCCATGCTGGGGCTGCCCTGGACAGGGCTTGGTGTCAGGGTGGGTCCCTTGCGGGGCCTGGGTCTCAGGGAGCAGGACCTTGGTATGGGGGGGTTCCTTCCCACAGGCTGCTCTGCACTGCCCAGCCTTTCCCACATGCTCTTGGAGGCCAGCACTGATGGACCTGCACTGCCCGGCCGTGGGAGGGTGACCCTGAGCCCTGGGTCTCGAGGCCAGGCAGGGTCTTGGCTCCATCCTCTCAGAGCTTAGACGCTGCACATTGTACAAGACCCAGTTAAGCCTCCCTCCCTGGAGATGGAGCAGGGGGCAGCTTCCTCTGTCCCCCGGCCTCCCTGGAGGCAGTAGGAGTAGCCGCCCTGCCTTTGACGGAGCTACTGCTGGTGCCCCCAGAAAGCCCAAAGCTGCTGCTGATGTCAGTATTTTGAGGGCACTTTCACATTTTTGGTGGGTGACAGTTCTGCGGGCTTGTCTCTTTTAGATGTCCTAGTTTGGAAGCAACAATTAAAATACTTGAGTCCCCATTTGATGTGATGGGGTTAGTGTTTCTGCATCTCATATCATGATCTAACCAGCGACCTGGACTAGAGTGGCAGTGGGTTACAGGGTGGATTTTTCTCACATTTTCATAGAAATTTGTGGAACTTGTTTCTTCAGAACTCAGCAAACACATTAATATTTTTCTTTTGATCTGAGACCAGTGGAACTTTCTTCTTAATAAAATTTCTGGCATTTAATTAAAAAGGCAAAAAAGAAAAAAAAAAAA